CGAACCTATATAGACATATGGTCTGATATTTTTAAAATAAAGTTAACATTTTTTTCAAAATAGGAGACTTCACATTCCAGAATCCATAAAAAACACGCAGAGTTCCCCACCCCCCTTGGAATCGAGTTATGCGCGAATTGGAATCGTTTTTATTCCACCATATAGCGTTAACCAAACAGATCCCGATTATTTAACTCTATTTTTTTGCATCAAATTTGATTTGGGCCATTGGCCCTTTTGGATTTTGTTTTATCACATTTTTTTAAATTATTATGAATATTTAGAAACATTAATAAAACACCCTTTTTGATAATGAAACCGAAAGTTTTTTCGTAAATCGAATCAAAAAGCGTTTGATCTGGAAAATCTTGAGCGTTTTTTAATATTTAGGCAATAAATTGAATGGATCTGGTAATTTTTTGGAAAAAGTTTAGGCATTCGATCTTTGCGTTTGCCCTTGAAATGGTTTTTCCCCATAATCCAGACTTTTTTTTTTTAGAATTTGGATACCATATACGGCGCCGGTTTTCCCCTATGGGTGAATAAATCTTTAATGAAATTTCCAATCGTAAAGCGTTACCTTTCTAATTTTTGTGGGTTAAATTATTGGTATTCGTGTCATTTATATATTTTATGTTGGGTATTCATCCCGAAGATAAAACCGTTTTATCCAATTTATAAAATATTTGTAAGATTGGAATTTGATGGTTTGAAAATTTTGATAGGCCTTTAATGCTAAGGGTGGGGGGTTAGGGGGCCCCCCCGTTTAAGCACATTTCCAATTTATTGTTGATAAAAAAAAGGAAACACCCATTCAATAATAAAAGCGTTTCCGGCATATACGATCCCATTTCATTTGGTCTTTTGGTGGGCTGTTTCCAAAAATATTTATAAACTAGAAAACCGCAAAAGTTAAATCGATAAACAGGCTTTAAATTTTCACAACGTTGGACAACAGCTATCGGGTTATGAATCGCGGAATCGAGAACTGGAAATGGCACCCATATTTGATATGAACCCCAGTGAAAATATCAACAAACATCCCCACCCCCATTTTAATTTCCACAAAATCCACCAAAGGGCCATGTTTTTAAACTCGGGCCGGAATTTTGATGCCAGGCTTTGTTTTTGTATTCGCGAATTAAAATCAAAAACCAAGCGTGGTCAAAGTACAATATCCCCATTTATTGTTAATTCTTCGCAAACAAAAATTTATTCCCCATGGGGTGCGTTCAATCGATTTAACAAAAAAAAATATTTGCAAGTTCTTAAATTAAATCTTTATTTGGTTGAATGGCGATGATGTTGCGGTGGGGCGAATGTTAAACGTTAATTAAAGAGATGGCGCGGCTAAGAAATATTGAGCGGTAAAGTTGATAAATAAAAACAAAATTTAACCAAAAATTATGCAATCTTTTTTTAATCTCAACTGATGAATCCCCTGCTTTGTGGATTCAATTTATGTTTTTCACGAGTTCCGAAATATCTTCGGACAGGGGTTCGGATTATCGGGCAAGAAAATAACCAAAACGCGGAAAACAAAAGACGGTGGTTTAAATTTTGATCACCCCCACAAAGCTTTTGAATTTTGTTTATTCCAGAAAGGAATATTATCTTGCCATAGGGTTTGGTTAATTTCCAAACGTTGCTTTAAATAATGGGTCGGGTTTGCCTTTAAGGGGTTTGTTAAATATCCGAAAGATCCCCTTTATATCCCCATGTGCCTTTTGATTTTTTGAGGCCCAAATTGATTAAAAATGGTACCCGGCTGTCAAAATAAACAAAGATTTTGTTTTTATCATTGGGTAAGATTGAAAAATTCACAAAGCCAAGTCAAAACCCATAGGCCAAATTTGAAAAAGATGGGGTTCCCTGAACATGGATTTTGTTTTTCGTCATTTATTTAAGCGTCCTTTAAAAC